AAATTGGGAGCTAAGGATGAACCTGTTCGATGCAGTGGCGAAAAGCGTTATTATGTATGGAGCACAAATCTGGGGATGGAAGAGATATGAAGAAATAGAGAGACTACAACTAAAATACATAAAGTGGGTATTAGGATTAGATAGAAACACGCCAAGTTACCTAATACGATGGGAAACAGGAAGACAAGAAATGAAAGGAACAGCATTAGAAAGAGCAATGAAGTATGAAAACAAAATAAGAGAAGAAAAAGATGGCTCAAAAAAAGAAGCATGGAGAGAATTAAAGAAAAGGGAAAGAAATGAAAAAGATAAAAAGGGTAAGAAGGAGGAGAGAGAGGAAAGGCTGGAAAAAAGTAAAATATACAGAGAGAGGGAAGAGGGAGATGAAATGAGGGAAGAGTTTTGGGAAGAAATAAGAGATGAGCTAAAGAAAAAAAGATGAAAAAGAACTAGAAGAAAAACTAGAAAAATCAAGATACATAAACGAGTGGAAAGAGCTGACAGAAGAAATGAAAAGGTATAGGTTAAAGGAAATTCAAGGAAAGGGAAAAATAAAAGGCCTGCAAATAAGGGAAAGGTTTAGGTTAGGTAATGAAACGAGAGGAAGCAGGTATTGGGAAAAAGAAGAAAATAAGAGATGCAGAATGTGTATGAAAGAGGAAGAAAATTGGAAGCACATGGTACAAAAATGTGAAAAAAGCAGAAAGGAAGGGGAAGAATTGGAAAAAATAATAATAGGAAGCAAAGAAAAGATAGCGTGGATGATGGAGATAAAATGGAAAAGAAGAAGAAATGGAGAGAAGAAAGAAAAAGAAAAGCAAGAAGACGAAGCTGCAAGACCCTAAGGAGAGACGGAAACAGAAGACAGAGAAGCAAGACTCGCAGACACATCTACACACACATACATACACACACATACACACAAAACACGAACATACGCGCAAACATAAACATACACATGCACACACACACACACACAAGACACAAGTAACAGCAACTACACAAGCGAGAGGAAGCAGGTATTGGAGGATGGAGCAAAATGGAAAAGAAGAAGAATCGAAGAAGAGAAAGAAAAAGGTAAACTAGAAGACAAAGCATAAGATACTAAGGAAAAATAATTAAGGTTGAGGAAACGAAAGGCAGAGGGAGCAATAGGAAACAAGAAAAATGTGTCAAAGCCTTAATAAGGAGAAAGATATATGAAATGATTAGCAAGATGGAGAGCAAAAGTAAAGGAAAGGCAAAGATGAAAAGGCAAAAGAAAGTAATAAAGGAAAAGCTGAAAAGAAAATATGCAAGAAAGAGAAAAACACAGAAGAGCGGAAAAGGCAGATCTTGGAGAGAGAAAGAGGAAGAGAAGATTAATCAGAAGAAAGATGAGAAGAAAAGAGGAACAGGCAGGCGCAGAAGACAGGGACACAAGAGTTGCAGACACACCTACAAATGCACATATTTACACAACACACACACACTCTCACGCGCGCACTCACACACACACACACACACACAAAACACATACATAATCAACTACACAAACTGGATACGAGACACAAATAGTAATATAAGAAATGTAAACCAAATGTAACATATAAGTTGTAAATAAATAAACTAACTAATTTACAATATAATAAAATTTTACACCTGTAAACGAAAATTTGGAGGGGCAATAACAGTGTGCCTCACAGTTAAAGGCGAGGTCGCCGTCTTTAACGACTAAAAATTAAAAAATTATTTCAATTAAAATTTGGCTGTCACCCTCCATGTTTCACAAATAATCTATAAATATAACATTCTATGAGAGCAGAAATCAGACGAAATAAAAAATCTTTAGTCAATTTTAAAAAACAACGTTTCAACAAAATCATGTGCAAAGGATTTTTTTGTGTAGTAACCGTGTCACCTCTAATATTTCTTTGGTGTTTTTTCAATCACGTTTCTAATGATCTTTTACTTTCATTAACATGAGTAGCGGAACATTGTTTACAATGAAATTTGTAAACTATTCCTGTTCCGTCTGTTAATTTGGACTAATCTTTTCCTAGACGTATTATCCCTCAAAGAGGTTTATTTAATAATGAAGCTATGTAATGTTACATTTATGCAAAATTTATTTACACTTTTTGAATATTTTCATGTTGTTTGGAATGGCAATAGTTGATTGTTTCAAACGAACTCACTTTAAAAAGAGAAAATAGAAACATTATCTTTTAGATTGATCTTGCTTAATGTTTCTTTTAAATGGATACCGTTGTTGATAAATGACGCTGGCTTTATTTTAACTGGTTTTAGAGAACTATATAAAATTTTGGCTATCATATATGAGTAGGGCTATAAATCGAAGTAATAATCGGTCGCAATGAAATATTACTTTGTGTATCTTGGGAAGTTCGTAGCACTTTGCTATTGTCGTATCAGTTTGTGTAAAGCAATTATTATGAAATTGTTTCTGTAAATATTCATTATCATTCCATCCCTGCAGAATACTCTATGCATATTATTTATTTAAACTTAGTCTAACTTTAGTCCTCATTGATCTTTATATTTATCGATTATTTAGAAAATATTATATATATAAATTTTTTCAGATACGATGACTGATAACATCATTTCGAAAATATACTTGGCATCCGACAAATTTATCCTCTGCTACATGCGCTTCTTCATGCGAACGACCAAAATGTTAAATTTCAGATTAGTATTGTAAATTCCATGTCTATTAGTAACTTGGTAGTAAAGAATTTGATTCTTTGTTATTATTTTTCAGAATTTCATCTGCATCTCTGAAGCAAACTATACTTTCGAAGAAAAACTCATTATCTACAGACCAGGTAAATTATTTTTTTATTTTATATTACAGGTAAAAATTAAATTTTAGTTAAAGAGTGTCTTCAAAAATCGTCTGTTTTGGCGAACTCGTAATTCATTCCAATTTCTGTTGAAACCAATTGTATATTATTAGAAAAAGTTATTTACAAAGTTTAAAGTAGAGTTCAACTCTAGTTTTGGAGTTATAAGCTGTACAATGCGTCGTACACTTACTTTGGCATATCTTACACATGGAGTTAAAATTTTTAAAATACACTTTTTTTTGATGACCTATAATTAAAATCAGAGTGGTTTTTTAGACCCTTTGAAGAATTTATTACGAATCAGAAGTTCGATTTTCATAATCCGAAATGTCTGATTTAAGACAGACAATGCTACTTTCAAATCAAAAAATTAATGCTAAGTGTGGTACATTTAGGTTTTTGTGGTAGCTTATCACGAACTTGAGATCAGATCATTATGCAAAATTGAAAATAACACGATAATCATGGCAATTTCCTTTTGACAGTTAAAGATTTCAGGCGACAGAGGAAAGAAACTCTGAAGAAAATTACTATCACCGAAGAAAACATTTCACTTAAATCTTAACAGTTTAAACATTTTATCTGTGTTACTAACTTTTTTCTTCTGTAATATATTTAATTTCAATATATTTTTAAATATATAATCATTGGAGTATAGTGTAAATTCAAAAGTAGATTAGTATTTAGTATAATTTTGAGTACGATTTATTGTATAGCTTATAACTCCAAAACTAGAGTTGAACTCAACTTCAACCTTTGTAAATATCATGTTCTAATCATGTATAAGAAGCTCCAACATAAATTAGAACAAATTACGAGTTCGTCAAAACAGGCGATTTTTCAGGCTATTTTTGGAGTCACTACAGAATTTTAACTAAATAAATTCTGATAAACAGATTCTGTTAAGGATGATCTCTCACTCGCAGTGATTCTCATAGCGGTTCCGCAAATAAAAAAGCACTTCTTGAGTTCATTCTGTATGTATGTATGTATGTATTTATTGATTTCAGCCTTATTACATGGCCCAGAAATGGACTTGGTTGAGTCGTACAAAAATATGCTTAATCTGTATCTCATGTTCGCAATCTTCCATACTTTACAACAGCAGCACAAAAATATATTTGGTACATAAGTCACATTTTGTTTCACCTTATTTTTACAGAGTTTGTTTACATTTTTTCATTTTGTAATTTTACATTTTTATACATTTTTATACATTTTTACATGTTTCTATTTTTTTGCTTTGCATTACTATTCCTATTTTTATCTCATTGCAGCTACATATTCTTGTGTACATATATTTGTAACATATTTGGGAACTGTTACATATATTTTAATACAGGCCTTTGCGTGAGCATATCTATATATAATTTTTTTTTACGTTTATGTGCTTTTTTTTATCTCAGTCTTTTCGTACATTTTTTTTTTATATCGGGATGTGAAGGGGGGCGGGGAGGGGGATGAGGATGATAAGGTACTATTCTTTCTATACTTTTCCCCAGTCTACCTAATTTTTAATCTACCCATTCCTCCCTACAACTTTTCTATTCTAATCTTCCGCGTCTATTAAGTCTTTCATTCGCTTCTTTTTCTTTGAATCTGTATCTACTTTTTTTACCCATTTTGCTACCCTATTATTATTTTTGCCTTCCCATACTTGTTTGAAGTCCCTAATTTCTATTCTTCCATCTAGAGAGTTTGCCCATTCTTTCATTACTTCGCAGTCGTTAATTAGATGTTGAAGCGTACCTAGTCCTATACCGCATATGTGGCATAGCCTGTTTTCTTCTGCTAACCAATATTTATTTGCCTGTTCTAAGTTTCCGCATCTCAACCTCGCTAGTTCTTTGTAATGTCTGCATCCCTTGGTCAAGTATTCTGGTCTGGCAATCGTTATACTCTCCTTGTACCTCTTGTTATACTTCGCATTTTCTATTTTTTTCACTATTATCTGTCCTTGTATAGCTTTTTCCCTCTTTAAAATCTCTTCTTTCGTGTCTAATTCTTTCTCTTCAAGATTTTGTACTCCTATTGAGCTCAGTCCTAAGGTGTTCAGGTACTTTTCTTTTTCTTTCATGTAGTCATCTTCTTCTTTTTCTTTCTCTTTTTCTAGCCAACAAATTTTTGTCAATCTGCTTTCGTCGTCTTCTCTTATTTTTTTTCAAATTCTAGTGCCCTGATTCCCCATCTGCCTTTCATCTTTTCTATATCTATTTCCCTATATATTAAATACCTAGCAGTGCAAAAATCTAGTCCTAATACCCATCTCCAGTACGTCAAGAGTATATTCTCTAGCTCTTTTCTTTCTTCCCATCCCCATAGCTCAACTCCGTATTCTATCACACTTCTCACTAAGTAGTTGAACAACATTTCTCTTCTACCTATATCTCCCTTAATCGCTCTTTCTCCTAGGCCCCATACTTCTTTAACTGCAGTTATTCCTTTCTTCTTTAATTCTTTGATGTGATTCTTATAATTTCCTTGAGCATTGAACGTAAATCCTAAGTATTTGAAATTTATCACCTGTTCTATTTCTTTTCCTTTCCATTTCCAAATTTCTTTCTTTTCATTTGCTGCTTTATTGAAAATTTTGTTTTTTCTGTACTTAAAGTTAGATCCCTCTCGTCTAAAAATAATCTAAGTGTGCTTATCATGTCTAACATAGCTTCCCTATTTAGAGCTAGGAGTACTATGTCATCTGCATAGTCTAGGGTCCATATTCTCGAATTACCTATTTTTATCCCTCCAACGTTTCTCACTTTGAACATTTTCTCTAGTTCACTTATGTATAAACAAAACAGAATCGGGCACAAAACACATCCCTGTCGTAGTCCTAGTTCCGTCCAAAAATCTTCCGTTGTGCCGTCTGTTGTCCTCACTCTGACTCTCGTTTCTTCATATATTCCTTTCATCCTTTCGGTCAAGTATTTACTTACTCCTATCCTTTCTAGGATTGTCCACAGCTTTCTCCTATTTACCGTATCAAATGCTGCCTTCAGGTCTATGAATAACGCGTATAGTTTTTCTTTTTTTCTTTTTGCCCTTTTTATCACATGATCCAAAATAAAGATATTATCCAACGTTGATCTTCCTTTCCTAAATCCAGCTTGTCCCTCCGGCAAAAGTTTCTTTTCCTCTACCTCTTTTACGAGTTTCGTCCTAATAATTTGCGCGTAAATTTTATACGCTGTGGGCAGCAGCGTAATTCCTCGGTAGTTGTTAGTGTCATTAGTATCTCCTTTTTTGAAAATTGGGACAATAACTCCTGTTTTCCAACTATCTGGTATTTCTTCCCCATCCCATATTTTTCCTATTATTGCTATCAGTTTGTTATTAATTTCTTCGCTCCCATAAATCCATGCCTCATTTGGGATATCGTCCCAGCCCGGCGTTTTCTTTTTCTTCAGAGATTTCCAGGCGGCTCTTATCTCTGCCTCTATAATTTTTTCCTCGTCCTTTCTTTCTGTTTCTGTTTTTCTCTTTTCGCCTGTTATTTTATCCTTTGATCCTTGCAATAGTTTTTCGAAGTGCGTTTTCCATTGCTCTTCCGTGATTTTATTCGGTTTTTCTACCCTTCTTCTCTTTCTCCTAAACCTCCCTATGTACTCTCATACTTGATTTTCATTTTTGAGATTCTTTAGTTCCACTAGTTGCTCTTCTTTCCACTTCCTTTCTTTCTCTTTGCATGTCTTTCTCCAATCCTTCTTGGCTGCTAGGTAATGGCTTTTTTGCATCTTTCCCTTTTTCCACCTTTTATATTTTTCCTTTGCTCTTCTTTTTAATATTGAACAGTTTTTGTCCCACCATATTTTGTAACCTAGCTTCCTTTTTCTAATTTTTTTCCTTTCAATCGTCCAAGCTTTTCCTATAATCTCTTTTGTATCTTTCCATCTGTCTTCTACGCTATCTTCTTTTTTTTCTACTAGCTTATTACATAAATCTTTGGTTTTTTCTTTAAATTGCTTTATTGATTCTTCGTTCCATATTGTCATTTTTTTCCAGATCTCTTTTTTTTCTTCTGTGTAATTTTGATAAATTTTTTCGTGTTCTTCTGATTTTATTTCTAGTACTAAGGGTGCGTGATCCGAGTCGATACTATCTTCTATCCTAAACTCTAAATCTTCGTCCCACAACTCATCATTCACCATTACATAATCAATTACCGAAACCCCGTTATCTCCTATATATGTAAACTCTCCGTCTCTGTCTCCTTGTGTGTTACCATTCAATATTTTCCATCCTTTACCTTCACATAGGTCCACTATCTTTTCCCAGTTGTTGCTGCATTTCTTATCTTTACTTTTCCTATAGATATAGTCCTCTTTACCGCTGAGAACAATGTGTCTACCTTTCTCTCCTATCCTTATGTTGAAATCTCCTCCTATGATTATTTTTCCTTCTTCGTTAACTTCTATTTCTTCTAGTTTTTCCATAATTTTTTCTGTATTTTTCGAGTTATATACTGACCAGAAGGTGAACGATTCCTCCGCACTAATAATCTCCGTTTTTACCAATCCTTCTTCTATTTCTATTGTCCTTGTGTGACCGCTTCCTATCAAGTCTTTTCTTACTCCTATCACAAAACCTCCCGATGCTCTCCCTTCCTTGCATTTTCTCCTCGCTTCTATAATTTCCCATTCAAACTCATGTGGTAGTATCGTTTTGACGTAATCAAATCTTTTCTTTTCTATCCATGTTTCTGACAGGCTCACTACATCATTTTTAACTACGTAATTCCAAAAATCCATATCTTTACCTAGTAAGCCTCGCACATTCCAAAACAACACTCTTTTCTTCCCTAATCCTAGTTTTTGGTTATTGATTTCCTTATTCCTAGTTTCTTCACCTATCGCATTTTTCTTAGTTCCATTGCCTATCAGATTTTTCCTAGCTCTTTTATTTATGGCTATCCTTGTTTCCTTATCTAACTCTTCAATCCTAAATTCTCTATCTATCCCTTTGTTCCTATCGTTAATTTCTACTATTACTTCAGTACGACTACTCTCCCCTCCTCTCTCTCCTCTTTCGTCTCCTTTCTCTACAGTCCGTTTCGGGGCCGCGTTCCGTTTCCCTCCTTAGCTTCCGTCGTATTTGTTTCCTTACTCTGATTGTTTTCTACCCGGTTCACAGCTATCTCCGGCACTTCTCTTCGCAGTCTTACTACGTCATTTTTTGCTTCCTCGTATTCAATTTTCCTAATACTCTCTTTATCTTCCCACTTTATCCATTGGTTATTCACACATACCCTGCCTACCCCAATTTTGACCTTCCAGCCCTTAACCCTTCTGTCATAACACCATTTCTTTATTTCCTCCTGTTTTCTTCTATCTTCAAAACTCAAATCACTTTCTATATAAATTTTTGATCCTTTAAGCTTAGATTTATTTGTCATAATCTTTCTCTTATCGTCTTCATTCTCCAATTTAGCAATAATTACCCTATCTCGACCCCCTACCACTCTCGCGTGAATTATTTTTAGCTTGATACCTAATTTTATGCTCAAAAATTTTTCTACCCATCCCTTGAAATCATTTCTCAAATTTTCATTTTCATTTTTCTCTATTTCCTCTATTTCTTTCTGTGCCCCTTTCACGACTATGTTGCATGCTCTTTCTATCCTATCTTTATTATATAATAATTTTTTCATTTGCGTTACCTCTTTATCAGTGAATCCGTCTGATATACCGCTCGCCCAGGTGCTCTCACGGCTGTCCGCTCTCCTAATACTACTCTTTGCGGTTCGTCTGCTCCTTGTACATGTCGTGCTCCACACCGAGCCTGCCGCTCTATGTATATCTCCGCTCGCAGGCTGCGACTCGTCGTCTCCCTCCCCTTCCGTCTCGTTCGCCGTTGCGAGTGCCGATGCTAACCTTTCCGAAACTTCTTTTAGCGTCTTCTCTAATTCTTCAACTTTCACTTCTAACTTTTCCGATTTTTCGTTTAGTTCCTGTATTTCCTTTTTCTGTTCCTCTATCTGCCTATTTATCTCTTTGTTTTCCAGATCTCGTTTATTACTTTCCTTTATACACTTTTCCTTCAGCTTCGCATTTTGATCTGCTAAATCCTCTACTTTTTTTTTCAATTCCTCCATCTCGTCGTCTCTAAAGGTTACTTTCTTTTACGTTTTGCTTAACGTTCTTTCGAGTGTTAGTTGTCTTTGTCTCGTATTTATTGTCGGTCTCGTGAGTTTTAAAGCAGGATTTAATTTACCGTTCTCACTTGCGTTTGCCTCGGCCGGCTTATTTGCCATGCCTTCGTCACCTCTCTCGTCGCCTTCTAACCTCCAAACCTCGCTCCGATGGCCAACTCCTTTTTGTCACTTTAGCTTTTTATTTAAGCCGAAAACTTTTTACTCACTCTATTCTTCTTAGCTTCTTACGTATTCCTACATCGTCCCTACAATTTTCTAAACTCACATTGCCAATAAACTTTTATCAAATGTCGAGAGACGCTCGAGCCACGTGCATGCACTCGAGCAGCCGCCACCAAAGTCCTTGAGTTCATTCTGTTATTATCACGAAAGATATTTATATATTGAAATGAAAAAAATTGGAAATATTCCTCTTGGTACCTAGTTTTTTACGGTTTTACACAATTTTCGCTAATTTTATTTGTTTGTTTATAAAAAATTATAACCTAGAAAGCTACAAAATATCGATAGACGAAAGTCTGTTAAGAATTTTTGAAATTTCAATTTTTTTATTATTACATTGTTTTTCAAAACTCCAAGTAAGCACATATCAAATATGAAGTCTTCATATTAACTAGAAAAAAATTATAGAAGTTATATAGTAATATGACGTTTCGTCACGACGCCAATTTTTAATGATATTTTTGTTAATAACTTTTGGAAAAAGACTACTATCTATATTTTTTAAAACATCCAACACTTCAGCATAGAATAAGCTTCATTTTGTCAAAATTTTGCGAAATTCTAAAGAAATTTTCTGTTATTTTTTAATTATATATTTATAAAAATTGATTTCTATGTATTTCTCCGTAAAGAGTGAATTTTTCTTATTTTTTTTGAGAAATAATATAGAAAATTTCATTATAATTTCACGAAAGTTTGACTAAATGAAACTTATTTGATTCTGAAGCGAATGGCGTTTTAAAACACATTAACGGTCTTTTTCAAAAGTTATTATCAAAGATATCATTAAAAATAAGCGCCGCGGCACAATTCCATATTGCTAAGCTTAATCGACATAATTGTCATTATTGGTCGGATGTTAATCCGTATTGGCACAGGCAGATAGATAATCAAAATCGATGGAGCCTTAACATATGGTGTAGAAATATTAATGGATACCTTATAGGCCCGTACTTTTTTGATGGAAATACAAATGTTATGATAATATCCAAATACCTTAGATGGTATTTGGTCAATTGTTTTTTATTGTTGGAATTTTTCACGATTTTTTGGTTTAAGTTTAATTATGAAATTGTTTATTCGAAAGACAAAGAAATAAGACACTATTTAGGGAAAAAGCCTGCAAGGCATAAAAAACCACTTTTATTTGAAAATGCACTGATGCTGAAATGATTGATACAAAGATTGGATGACGAAAGAAGATTGAATAACGAGTAACGCCGCACAAAGTGACTTGTACGTACGCCGGTATTTGTTAGAACAAAGAGAAAGAATGCGCGAGGAGAAATTCACCGGCCACGTGGCCGTGCACGCACCGAGAGCTCTTACACGCACACACTTTCACACACGATTGATTTTACGATCAAGGTGACAATGATCACGATGATGTTCGACTCGGTGAAGCCGAACAAGTTCTATTGGCGATGTGGAGACCAATAACAATAAGTTGTTGATTAGTTGAGAAGCATGGGCTTCTCGCCAGTTGAGAAGCGTGAGCTTCTCGTTTGTTTGATCATTTGATGATCTGTTGTAAGCTGCTGCTGTTGCCAGAATTGTTGACTGTTGTTCTCGTTGTTGCTCACCTGGAACAGAAAACCAACGGACACGACGAACAAAGACTCCGTTCGCGAGGTAAAGATGAGAGCTGCGCACGCGATCACTGCTTGCTCTTGACTGACTGTTAGTTTGCACGCGCTCTCTCGCTCGCCGGTAACAACTCATGGGAATCAAGCCCGTACGGTGACGCCGCCTAGTCGCCTTTGCGTGGGCCTACCGACACACTCACACATTCGCACACATACATTGTGACGACGAAACACAAATATGCATAATTTGTTACAGTTTCTGAGACACCATCTTCCAGTAGATTTGTACACAAGATTAAGAATGTGAATTCAATTAGATGGAACTCCTGTACACTACGCTCGAATAATAAGACAATATCTCAATCAATATTATCGTGACAGGTGGATTGAACGCACCGAGCGTGCAGATTTTGATGTTTGATGGCCACCAAGATCTCCAGATTTAACATAATCTGATTTTTATTTGTGGGAATATTTAAAAGATATTGTTTATAAACACCAACCAAAAACAAGAGATAACATGATGCAAAGAATTCGAACCGCTTGTGAAAACATCCCAAGGGCTGTATAACTCAGAACAGTAGAACAATTTCAGCAGCGAATATAATTATGTATTCAAGAAAATGGTATCTTTGAAAACCTACGTTGAATTCTGAAGAAAAGTGCAAGAGGACTTACTCTGATCAAACACCCCAATCCTATTAAGTCCACGTCGTTGTTCTTGGGTGATACTAATAGTAGGATAAAAATTTGACCTTCAAATGACCTTGAATATCGATAATAGGGTCCAGGGCATTGTCATATTCAAATTGTGTATTTTTCCATTTTCGGATCCTTGAAAAAAAAATTTTCTGTTACAATAAGCACTGTGACTTTCAAGTGACCTTACAAAATGGCTTCAAAGAGAGCATGGTATGTTACACAATTACTTTCAAAAGGTATCTTGACAATATTTATTCTACCAAAAAATGAAAAAAACTAGTTATTAGGAGGTTTTTTGAGCATTTGACCTTCAATTGACCTTCTCAGGTCATAAATACAAACTTGAAATATCATTTTGAATGTAATTTTTTCCCGCTCTACACGATTCCGTCAAAAATAAGGGTTCCAATTTAAAAAAGCACTTTGACCTTCAGATGACCTTGAAAATCGAATTAAAGGTCAAAGTTGATGATAGCATTTGGTAGTCCACTCAGTCCCCTACAACTTTTGTAGCGGTCATTTCTTGATAACGTTTGTTTTTACTAGGTTATGCGCGTGGTCGGATTAAAATGAAACACCCTGTATATGTTTTTATATTATATATGTTATTTTATTTTATTTAAATATATGATTTTTATATGATATATATTATATATATATGTTATTTATATGTTTGTAACGGTCCTATTTATGAGCTGTTATTAAATCACTGCAACTAGTCTAACGTATTAATCTGTTTAGTCAAAACAATACATTAAGCTACCTCACTGTTTACGCGACTGTATACAAATAAGAGTCGAGTCAAAACAAATAGCGTGACGTCACAAATAATAGACATAGATATAATGAATCATAATATTGAGAAAAATATGTTAATTATAGATAATTTGAATATAACAAAGTATCAATTATATAGATTTTAACATACAGATTCACAATATCTTATTCAATCATAAATTTATAACGAATATCGATATGTAAAGTTAATTTATTTATTAACATATGAAATATTAGAAAAATATAAATAATTTATATGTAAAATGAATAAGTATAGAACATGAGTAAGAATTGGTTTCATTAATAACAGCTAAATAACAACTGTTATTAATAAATAAACAACTAATAATTTATTTAAACAATAAGCGATATATAGAACGAAAATATTAAGTTAATACTTGATAATGACAATTTTATGATTTAGAAATCTTATATAATTAACCTAATAATCGCATATTAAAATTAAAAGAAAACCGTTACAAATATGAAAAATTAGTCATAATTCAAATGTTATTAATTAATTTAAATAATTAATTTTGGAAAATACTTCCAAAATTAATTAACTATAAAGTTATATGAAATTTTAATAATTTTCTATTGTAAATAATGTAATATCACGTTAATTAACTTTATTAGTTAATAACTTTTGACGACACTATTGGCGATAATTATATATTGTATAAAATCAACAAATAACTAGTTCTGTAAAATTTACATGTGTAAAAAACTTAATATTAATGGTTATTGACTTGTAAATGAAGAAAAATCATTTCTCAAAATTCGCGAATGTCTCTCGAATTTTCGATGAAATCTCTCCTGCAATAATAAGCGGGAAAATCTGTGTATAAATAGGCCCACCTTTGCACAGGCTAGATTCATTCACTTCTAGCCTTGCAAAGTGAGCGCATGAGTTTGAATAAACTTGGATCAACACCTAAGTTCTTTCTCTCATTGTGATTTACTAAGCAAGATTAACCTTTCCTTATAATTTGAGCTCGACTTATAGAACATCTCGCGCTATAAGAAACTTGGGCCGAATTATATCCTATCCAAGAAAGACTTTAGCTCTGCTTATGGGACAACTCGCACCATAAGAAACTAGGGCATTGTCTGACTTTCCTCGATATTTTACAATTACTTATATATATTTGAGTTACTTATTTATTATATTTGTTTCATTTATTTATATTCTTGAAATTAGAGTAAAATCATCAGAAACAAATTCTTACTCATTAGCTAAATTACGAGAGTTCAAATTATTTTTATTTATAAGTGATACAAACATTACATGTTTCTGATTAGAAAATGTATTATGAATAAATAAAATTTACAGTGAGTTATTCGAAGAAAAAGCACTTAAATAAGAGAATGAAAATAGAATTAATGAACTTTTTTCATCGATAGATATTTTACATTTCCAGTTAGAAAATCTCAAATGAGGAAATCAATGAATCGATACTTAATTTTATAATAATGAAAGAACAAATAACTTTAAATGAGATAGAAACTTTTTTCGTCTATCCGGTGGGTGTATTTCTTATTAGAAATTATAATATGGAAAATAGGATTCCAAGTTAGTTATTCAAAGTAAATGTACTTAACGAAGAAAATGAAAATAGAATCATTAGCCTTTTTTCATCTATGAATATTTTT